TTATTCATCGCCCCTAATAATGGATCATTAAATTACAAATTAATGGTCGACCAACAGCAATGGTTACACATGTGGTGTGCGATACCGATTCCCAGGCAAACTAAGCCGTGTTGAGTCTGGTAATCATGTTCAAGGGTATAAACACGTGCATAGTGACCAAGTGTCCCTCTCTTGTGCGTCAGACAGATGGGTCCACTGGGATTCGCACTATCGGCCCACCTTACAACTAGAGTCCTCCACGATTTCCCTTAACATTCGTGTGTAATACAATACAGTTCGAAAAAATATCACCCTCATGGCACCGTAGGGAGAGGGAAAAACGTAAATACTCAAGAAGGTATACGTTAATAAATGAGCAAAAAGAAATCCAAATCAATTTATAAAGAAAGTTATTCTTTTTTTAACCAATTTTTAGTGACAATAATCCCAAAATTAACCGGTTCTGATTTTCAGTACTATTTGTAGTAAAGTTCAAAGAATTATTTACTAGAATTCAATTCAATTTCCCATTTTATTTAACGGGGTCATTTCATTGGGAATTGAGTACCTGTGTTATCTATACCTGAGGTATTTCATTCGAAAAAAGTACAATAATAATAATAATAATAATCCAAGTTGTTCCCTACACGGGTTCTTGGTGGGTGTGATTGGTGTGAACACAAGAATGCTTCACCATTTTCAATTATTAATCACATAAAAACAATCTAATAAAGTTGAAGAGAATGCGACCTATCATCTGAATACCAGTATAAACATAAATTTGCGGATCTTCCATTTATTGAGAAGTCTTGTCGCCAAGATTCTGTGACGTTTGACTCCAAAAAATTGAGGATTTTATCGCTAAATTTTGGTTATAAATGTTCGTAATGCTACGGGTAATTACCCGAGTGGAAATTTTGGTCAGGTCCAAGTCAAGACTGGATCAGGTCAGGCTTAAAGATTGATCACGAAGTGATGTGATAACTGGATCAAGCCCGGATCAGTCATGTAACACAGTTTTTAATCACGACTTGATCAGGCATAACGGTTCTGCATTTGATCCAGCCAAATGTATTCAAACCAGATGATCTGTTTATTGGAATCAAAAATAATTATTAATGATAACTAATTAAAAACATAAGATAATTCAATTTTTTTCACTGCAGATCGCCTCTCCTAATGAATTTCCACCATAGTTATCGCTGAAAAAATCTTATGATCTTTGTCGATGCTGGGGACCGAACCGGGGATCATACGATTACTAATGTTATACTCTAACCATTGGACTATCGCGCTTTAATTTTTCAGTGGACTCTGTTTTGCCTATACCATCTGTATCGGGGTATTTGTTGACTTCGACATTATTCATGAAAGCGCGGATTTACTCGTATATTCTAAGAGAGAAAATTTGTTTAGTTAAAATTGTATTAATATAATTAATGAATAATAACGCTAATAATTATAACACCAATGAGCAGATGGAAGTTTGATGGTTTTTCTCTACTTAAGATAATTTGCTTGTAAGTTTGATATTTCTACCATATATATTTCTCCCCCCCCCCCGTACATTCAATTAACGTTGTTCGATAAATAAATTGAGAATTAATATTAAATTCGATTTTCGGAAAACGTTCAAATTAAGATCAGGTGGACCAGATCCGAACCTTATCATTTTTTCTACAATTGACCCTGTTCAAATGAAACTCAAGTACATCAGATCCAAATCGAATCAAATTGGATTTTCGTCTACTTCATGAGAACACTGGATCTGAGCCCACCTCCAGATTTTGTAATCCGATCTACTGGATCAAAACCTGTTCGAGTCATCTGAAAATCAATAAAATACTCAAATCAAAAATCAATAAAAATCAGGAAAATTCTGGGAAAAATTGAAAAATCATGTCATTTTGTTTCTGAGTAGTTATGTTCCATTGAAAATTCAATCAAATTGTGAAATATCCATCTCACTACCACAAAAAACTCATGAATTTCCTTAAATGCTACCTAAAACTTGAAATTTCATAACTATTTTCGCCCTAAATCAGATTCCATGTCACTCTCACAAGAATTACTATCATATTTTCCATAAAATTTCTAAAAAATTCTAACTATGTAGCGTTATATGCACAAGAACTTTTTTTCTGTTTTGGCTCATAAATCCAATGCATCACATTATTCACTTGTTACGTGAACACAAATGGTCTGAATTATAATATGGAAGTGTTTTGCATCACCGTAAAAATTACTATATCAATTCAATCTTCTCGACTACAAATGAAATTACAAGTAAACCTTGTCAGAGACCAGCGGGAAGAAATCAAGTGGAAATAAATAACACCTAATAATTGCGTATTGCATTCTGCTTGGAAAGCCACTTACATGAATTTGATATTAAAAAAAATCAAATTGAGCCCCTCAGAATGAGGAAGAGTTACTCGCTGAGTTGAGTGACAAATTAGGGAGAAGTAATACACAGGTTATCGGCTATTGAATTGTAATTTTTATTTTCATTTTTATGAGTCAGAAAGAATGTTTGAAACCAATAAAAAAAAGAATTATTGGAGTGGAATTTCCATATACATATATGTGAAAGTTGTTCAAGATGAAAGACGAAATTTTTGGGGCTACCAAATTTTGTTGTGCTGACTCATCTCGAGGAAGATAGGGATGTGTATCGGTATCGCCCCATGTATTCCATTCTTCTCTATCTACTTTCGTTTCTCCATTCTAACCCCTCGATAACATATTTATGTCGGTTCGACAGGGTCTATCCGCTACCTCTTATTCAACGAGGGGCAGCGTTTATTCGTTTGTGAAATTAGTGCTGGTTATGTCGTGTATACATTCGGTACAATAGCTCCCCTACCCTTCAATCCTCTGAAATACAAGGCATTTCGTATATCTCGGGGTATCTGGTACAAACACTACGAATTAGACATGCCACAATTGGTTCCTCAGGGTGTCATGCATCCTCTCATCCAATTACAAGAATTACATCACGCAAATCCTTTCAGATAAAACCGAAATAAATCTGATGATTCGTTCGGTAAAATTTGATATTAAATGAAATTTTTAACAGTTCGTTAGAGAATGGTAAGTCAAGGACGCGTCGTGTCATCAAAAAGTGCGAAAAAGTAATTGAGTTTATCGGATTCGAATTCGTCTAATCATCAAAGAAATTATTGCTGCATGAACAAATTTGTTTCCAATAATTCGTCTGAACTGTCCATTACGAAGCGTTTTGTCTTTACTATAGATATCACTTTTTTCCATTGGATTTTTTCTATGGATTTCTTTTGTGGGTTTGACATTTCCAGGTTATGGCATGTTGAAAGCTGAACTTACACGTATTTTTGTTACGAATTGATAAATAAGAGAGCCACAGAGTGTTTATTTGACCATTCTGTGGACAAAACGCGGGTGTTGTAGACCCTCACCACCAGCTTGGGCAATCCAATCCCTTTTGTAATCTATAATGTACCATTTTCAATTGCAATTTTGTGAAAAAAAATTAAAAGCTATTGAAAAAGAATGGGCCGTGTTTTCTTGCAAATAAGTCATGAATTCATCTCATGGGTTGATTTTCAATCTTCTCATAAACTGTGACTGTTGAATTGAACTATTATGTATTAAACGAATATATAGTTTATCTGCACAAAGGAAACATGTACCATTCCATGTTTTATTATGTACAAAACTCAGTGTATAACTAAAAATACCATATACATTTCAACCTGTGTGATAGTGTGTGAGGAGGGGGAAGATGTGCACACATTAATTAGCAGTTTAGAAACTACCTAGATATAACTTCATTGTACAATCTATACTATGCCCAAAATAACGTTGAACACAATAAAATTGGCATTAATGTTTAGGACTGCAGATGAGATAAGGCTTTAGAAATTTTGAATATCGTCTGAGTCTCAGAGTAGAAAGTATCATCTCGTCTCTTCATAATTTGAGTAGAATCTGTCTCGTCTCCGTCTCGAACGGGTTTATAATTTTCGGTCTTGTTTCGGTCTCGGGATTATGAGAATTGGGAAATAGGGGAACGATCATAAATGGAATAAAATGGTGAGCAGGTTCACCCATTTTGCATGGCGACAAACGTTGCAAGAGTCGTACATTGCCAGGGTCCTATCTGGCATAGATCAAACATGGAAAAGATTATACCGCCTAATGGCCACCCCTCGAAAAAATGAACGCTGGCATCAAAATGTTGATGTCTTATTGAAGTGTTGATGAAATGGAATTTTTTTTTTCAAATTAAAGTACAGTCAGCCCCTTTGTAATAAGCTTAGACTGAGCTCAATCGATAAATTTGTTCCTTGGTTATAAATATTGAAACAAAAAGTCGGAAGAGTCCATTCCACTCGATGTTTCCCTAATATTTTTAAAAACAAAAAAAAACAGATGTTTTCAAAAAGAATTCAAAAAGAATCTTTCTGAACATTTCGACTATTCCTATAAGGAAATCAATTCATCTCTCCAAGAAATACAATCCACATAGAAATCATCAGAGCAAAAATTGAATGAGGAACCTAATCAAGTCAGAAAATTATTTTTTCACACACCTGCGCGGAACGTTCGTACTTTCCTCCCGCTCATCAGAGAGCAAAATACGAACTTTCCTTTGCAGGCGTGTTAAAATAGTATATTGTGTCCCTAGGGAGTAAAAGTATTATAAAATATTATAACTCGCCTTCGGCTCGGGTTATAACGTCACATTCGTCAGAAAATACTTTTACTGCCGTGTGGCACACGATATTTTATGCCTCGAGGAACGAAAACCGCGATTTAACCGAGCGAAGCGAGGTTAGAATTGCGGTTTTCCGTCCCTAGAGGCATAAAATAGCATGTACACCTCGGGCGGGAAAACATGACTTTCCGCCCTTGCGGGCGTATCCTTGCCGGAGCAAGATGGATTACTAGTCTGCCATCTCAATGTGAACTCGCTCAAGGCTCATATTGAGAGGGTCAGACACTTTCTGAGTACTCGTCCCCCATTTCATGTTATTGCCATGGCAGAGACTAAACTCGGCCCCCTTATTGATGATGACGTTGTTTCCCTCGACGGCTATAGACTCTTCAGACGTGACCGTAATACGCGGGGTGGTGGTGTCGCGCTTTTCATCAATACTTGCTTCAGAGTTAAAATTCTTGCAACCTCCACTCATTTGTGGATTAGGAAACCTGGACTTCCTAAGTATTTGTTTTGTGAAATTGCTGGCCATGGTGTCTTTCCAATTTTTGTTGCTGTTGTATATAGGCCGCCTGATGCTCCTTTCTTCGAGGGTACTGATTTTGTACCTTCGCTGCAGCTACACTTGCAAAGCAATAGCACCAAAGTGATTTTGGGTGACTTCAATGCAGACCAGCTCTCTCTAATGAAGCATGATGCACGTATTGTCCGCTCTCTCTGCTCTGATTTAGGTCTCCAACAGGTCCTCTATGGACCAACTCATCATACTTCTGATGGTGACACTTTGCTAGATTTACGCATGATTGATAATGAGGATACTCTGTTATCCTACTGGAAAACGGATGTTTCTTTTATTGATGGTCATGATCTTATCACGGCTACACTACGGGCAGTCGTGCCTCGTCAGACTCTGACTAGTGACATCTGCTATAGGGATTTCAGTGCCCTTGACGTGGATGAATTCACCGTGCACTTAATGTCTAGTGACTGGTCAATCTTTGGTGAGTCAGCAGCTCCTGTGGTTGACCTTGTCTCATGTTTGATTTGTCATCTGGGCGATGCCATTAGTGCGGCTGTTCCTGTTAAGACCGTGAAAAAGGACTCAAAGCGGAAACCTTGGTTTACTGCTCGCATAGATAGGCTAGTGGCTATCCGCGATCGACTGTACAGAGTGTACAGGCGGGTTCGCTCTAGAAGAGCTCTTCTTGAGTATAGAGCTGCCCGTGATCGTGCTCACGGTGAGGTCGAGAGTGCGCGTCAACTATTCTTTGGCCAGCGTCTGAAGGTGCTATCTGACCCAGGCCTCATCTGGAAGGAGTTACGACGTCTTGGAGTCGTTCCTGTGGACAATGTGACCCAAGACTTTGATCCTGAGGTGTTGAATGCATACTTTGCTGGAGTGTCTTTTGACCCCAATGAACTATCTGTAGACGTCTTTCTTGACTCTTTTCTGGGTGAAGCATGTGCTGCTGATAAGGGGTTTTCATTCGGTCCAGTCACTGCTGAGGATGTACGGAGTGCTATTCTGCCCTTCTCCTCTGGAGCAAAGGGGACTGATGGAATTCCCAAGTCGGTAGTCTCAGTGGCTCTGCCTGTTCTCACGGACTATCTCGTCACAATCTATAACGCGTCTTTTTCTTCAGCTTGCTTTCCTTCATAGTGGAAAAAATTCCTTGTAGTGACGCTCCCCAAGATAAAAAATCCTTCGGAGGCTGGCGATTACAGGCCGATTGCCCTACTCTGCTTTCTGTCCAAGGTCTTGGAGAGACTTGCCTCCTTACAGATCCTTGAATATCTTGCCGAGCGCTCTATATTGGATCCACGCCAGACTGGCTTTCGCCCCTTCAATAGTACACAGACGGCTCTGCTTAGACTGACGGATGACATACGTACTGGTATAGACAGACGGGAACTGACGATGCTTCTCCTCTTTGACTTCAGCAAGGCATTCGATTCTGTGTCACATGTCCGGCTCCTACGCAAACTGGTCGGTTACGGGTTCTCAGCGGCGGCTGTCAGGTGGATAGCGTCCTACCTTAGTGGCCGTACTCAGTCGACCGTGGGAGGCGCGAGTGGCATGTCCTCGTCTCGTCCCTTGAATAGGGGAGTGCCGCAGGGGTCAGTTCTTGGCCCTCTGCTGTTCCTCCTATTCATAAATGACGTAGCGGGAGGCTTGGGACAGGGCATTCAGCATCTGATCTACGCTGATGACCTTCAGATTTATCTGAGCTTCTCACGAGCTGATATTGAAGTGGCCACTTGCGTTATGAGTTCTGCCGCCAAATGTATCATGGACTGGGCCGCTTGTAATCGCTTGCGACTTAATGTTGCCAAAACCAAGGCTATCATTTTTGGCTCTCAATTCTTCATCAATGAACTATACTCTTTGCCCAATTTGTCCATCGACATTGACGGTGCCAGTGTTTCTTTTGATTCTTCTGTGCGTAGCCTTGGAGTGGTCCTGGACAGCAAGCTCACTTGGAAGGAGCACGTGGCCGGTATCACTAGAAGGGTGCATTCGGTGATGTATCGGCTGCGATTTTTCCGTACCAGTACCTCTCAAGGGTTGCGTAAACACCTGATCGAGACTCTGGTGTTCCCGGTGGTAGATTACTGCTGCCTGGTGTATGCTGGTCTGTCTGAGGAGCTTTCTCTGAGGCTTCAGCGTCTCATCAATATGGGAATTAGATACATCTTTGGGATGAGGTGGGACGAGCACATCACTCCTTACCGACTGCGCTTGGGCTGGATGCTGAGTGGGACACGCAGAAAGTACTTTTTGGGTTGTCAGACGTTCAGAGCACTCAGGCTCGGGGAGCCTGTTTACCTGGCGGATCTCTTCGTCCTCAGCCGTGGCGTACGTCTTGTGAGGGGTGAGGTGAATCGGCTGCTGATCAAGTCGTTTAGGACTGAGGCCATGCGCCGCTCATTTCAGACTTCGGCGGCATATTTTTGGAATTCCCTCCCTAGCTTGATCCGAGATCAACCGTCCCTTCCCGCTTTCAAGCTAGCACTGCGTGCCTATTTGAGGGATAATCCTTAATTTTTCTCACCACATCTTAACTCTTCGTCTATCCTAGCAGTTATTCCTTTGTATTATTTTGTAAATTTTATTCTTTCTTATCTTAGTATCCTCCTTCATCTTCACCATCCTCGCCATCTTCATTATCTTCAGTCGCTTCTGTCACTCCTAGTATTAAGAGTCCATAGTTCTGGTGCTATTATTATATATAACATCTGATTTATTTTACGTGCTCTGATATTCCTATACTTATACATGGCTTGCTGCTACTTGCCTACTCATATTCGTCTTTTTCACTTGCTAAAATTTGCTGCCTATCGCTGTATGACTTTGCGTCATATTGTCTTATTTTTACAACATACTGTACAGTAATAAACCATCAATCAATCAATCAATCAATCTGTATCAATCTAATCCTCCATNCGACTGCGCTTGGGCTGGATGCTGAGTGGGACACGCAGAAAGTACTTTTTGGGTTGTCAGACGTTCAGAGCACTCAGGCTCGGGGAGCCTGTTTACCTGGCGGATCTCTTCGTCCTCAGCCGTGGCGTACGTCTTGTGAGGGGTGAGGTGAATCGGCTGCTGATCAAGTCGTTTAGGACTGAGGCCATGCGCCGCTCATTTCAGACTTCGGCGGCATATTTTTGGAATTCCCTCCCTAGCTTGATCCGAGATCAACCGTCCCTTCCCGCTTTCAAGCTAGCACTGCGTGCCTATTTGAGGGATAATCCTTAATTTTTCTCACCACATCTTAACTCTTCGTCTATCCTAGCAGTTATTCCTTTGTATTATTTTGTAAATTTTATTCTTTCTTATCTTAGTATCCTCCTTCATCTTCACCATCCTCGCCATCTTCATTATCTTCAGTCGCTTCTGTCACTCCTAGTATTAAGAGTCCATAGTTCTGGTGCTATTATTATATATAACATCTGATTTATTTTACGTGCTCTGATATTCCTATACTTATACATGGCTTGCTGCTACTTGCCTACTCATATTCGTCTTTTTCACTTGCTAAAATTTGCTGCCTATCGCTGTATGACTTTGCGTCATATTGTCTTATTTTTACAACATACTGTACAGTAATAAACCATCAATCAATCAATCAATCAATCTGTATCAATCTAATCCTCCATCCTTTGATCCGCACCAAGGACGTTGGTCCTGCTCCTACTGATTTTTTATTTCATGGAGAATTTTTATTATAGAAACCTAATTGTGCACTATCACCATTTATTCAAAATTCCTGATTTGGCTTCCTTTTTTATTTCCACGTATTTTTCAAAAACTTCGATTTCCCAGTAGGAATCAAACAAAACTTTTTCATGGCCCAGTTTTTTTACAAAAACATTGGTTTTTGTGTTTTTAGGCATTATTAATCCTATGCGCTAACCACTAGCCTATGGCGCAATTCATAAAATATCTACTTCAAATCGTCCATATCAATTCCACTTCGGTTTGTTTTCGACTTGAATGTTTTTTGTTCAGTTCATAGACATATTAAGTGATTTAACCACAGATTAATAGGTAAATTAATTCAATAAAAAATCATCATCATGGTAATTATAACAACGATGATTAATTTTTGAAGACGACTCTTCTTTCCTTTGTGATAATTAGCGAATAACATGGGATTTCAATGCCTACATTGCCACCTTGACCATTTTATTTCTACCATTACACCCTTAAAATTTTACCCTCAAGATTCCATCCTTACCATTCCCTCATCACAAACCTCACTACCAAACCTCACGATGTTACCCGTATGATTTTCTCGCCTCTTTCTGTTATTACGATTTAACACTTACAATTTTACTCTTCAAATTTTACCATCAAGATTTCACCCCTATGATTCTATTCTCATTATCTCATCCTTATGACTTAACCCTTACAATTACACAAACAGCTGGAGCCCAGTGACCAAGCTCCAGGCTACCGCTGGCTGGGGCTTGGTTATCCAGCTCCGACAAGCCAATGTTCGGCTCCACGCTGGGCCAGATCTGTCAACGAAGGCTCGGTTACCCGCCCTGCCCCCGAGACTTAAGCCCTGGTTCCTAGGGTTTGGGGTCAAGTGCATCGGAATTGAAGAATATGAAAGAGACATCTCAACGAATCTAAAGATCCCCAACGCAATATGTTTAGGAATTTCTTCCAATAGAATAGCTATAATATTGCCGATTGTATTGAATCACGGAACATAAGTTTTCGAAAGGAATATACTAACAAGTCATGGCTTGCAATATGTATTGATCGTATGAATTTGTTACTAGCAGATTATTCGAGTGGACTATTGAAAATATATATTGATGGAGAATGAATCGAGAATGTAAAACGTATTATGTGCTATATTGGATAGAATCGTTGATGCATACATGTATTTGTGTGCATAAAGGAATATTTGAAATAAATTTTTTCCAGATAATTACTTTCAACGATACGGGAAATTTGAACATGGACACCTGAATCGAATATACGTAAAGAAGTACCTATGAATGCACAATACAAGAATGAATTGCATTAACTTTCCTACGCTCTGAACACCAACACTATTATGGGCTCTTCAATTTTAACTATTAAATCAATTACAATAGCCCAGAAAATATATCAATAGACAAAGCGTTGCGTATTAAAAAAAAAGTCTAAAATGTTGGGCATGCAAAAAAAATTTTTAAACAAAATTTGTACATATCTTCAGACATACTGGTAGAAGCCACCAACAGCATCAATTTTCGATTACAAATTGATGTGAATAAGGAAGCCACAAAATAAGGCCGAAATGGATTGCAGTGGGAGAAATGAATTTATCTATGCGATATGTCGAATAATTCATAATATTTACAAGATTCATAATGATAAGTTACAACTGTTCCGATGATACGCAAATTCTCAAAATGGAATGTTCTCAAGTGGGAAAGTTGTCTCAGTTAGACATGTCATACTGAACATGTTGAGATTCTTTCGTTCTCTAATTAGTTAATATACTGAAATTGAAATCGATTGATTTTGCATGCGTCCAAAATGAAAACATCCAAACATCTGACGGTTGAAATTCAACGGTGATAGAAAATTGATTTGTCTTAAAACTCGGTCAGTTCCACGGCGAGGGGGCTGAGGGAGAGGTTCTCGATCGGTAAATCAGGTATTAGGATAAATCAAGTTTCATAAGCTCAAATTTTTGCACGAAAAAATCTTCGTTTTCTTGTTCATTCGTCTCTTGCAGAATTTAATTTGAAATACTAGAGTTTCCTAGATGTAACAGCCGTATATTCATCTGGTCGGGAGTGAATGAATGATAGAATGAATTTTAACCATGAACGAAACGGTTATATTAGCTTTTGTACCCATTGTACAAATGTAAGATATGTAATCAGTTGGAAAATTATTCGTATTTTCGTTGGATAGTATAAAAGAATTTTCATCAAAAATATACAATGGGACTCTCACTCTATTGTTTCAAATGACGAGAGTGACAATTCGTAACTAGTTATGTCGTTTCGTGCAATAAGGTCTAACCATTATGTTCTAACATCATGAAATGCCAATTTCTTAGATCAAATGGTATCCCATTCTTAATTGTTGGAAATAATTACTTCTTATTATCTCTTGCAAGGAACATTCGATAGAATGGATTATTTGAAGGAAACCGCAATCGTACGAAACTCCATCGACAAAAATATCTTGTTAACTGAATTACAAGTATCATGAATTGTATGTGTGAGATTTTTTATGCGATTTACTTCTTCTTTATACATTTCTCACCGTAACGAGAGTAACTTGATAGAGTTAGATTGTGTAAAAAATGTTTCAAAAATTCACTTCAGTACTATCCTAAAAAGACATCCTTTGTAAAAATGAATAGTCTGACAATATGCAATGAATTACAAAATGCAGAGAACAAAGATCGGCTATATAAAAGAATGTAACTAGAAAAATTTGTCTGATTGATCGACTGAAAAACATTCCTTTCAGCATGTAATAACAACACTATCTATGGTTAAAGTGGAACGCAGACATTTTCAGTATCGGTCATTCATCTACGCGGCACATTCAATTTTCGGAATATAGGACTAACGGTCTTCTGTAATTCGGACAGTTGGCAATTCCGATGAATGGATCCCGAAACACTTGACCCCAAGCCGTCCCCAGGGATGGCCGAACCTCAGACCACAGGTGCCAAGGCTTGGCAAACTTGACCAGAGATGCCAAGACTTGTGACACACTTGACACATTTTTTTAATACCAGCATTCCTTACCTGAGTTGAACGGTATTAACTCGGTCACGTCGCGAAGAATCGAGATGAGAGAAGACGGTACTGGGATCAATCTCGGTATCGTACGCAGCACTATTGATGTTTAAACATCGCAAATTACCGAATTGGAGAAAGATGCACTGAGAAAAAAAAGGAAAATTACTATTACGTACGTGAACTTTCCCGGATCTATTTTGACAAATGTGGGAAAATTAACGTACCCACATCGAAAATTGTGCTGCGTAATACAGGAATGTTTGCATTAGATACGTGAAAAGTTCGTGCAGCAAAAATTTCAGTGTGGGCACGTAATTTTTTTGGATTCATTGAACTGAACCTATTCTACCCTGCTAGCACAGTCATTTTTTTCATATTTTTGTTTTGAAATGATGTAGAATATCATGAAACGTCAAGATATGTTTTTAGAAAATGTGTGTGTGTGTGCATTTGCGTATTTTTTTTATAAATCTTCACGAAAACAAGCAGGGGTTCGAGCCTATCCGACAGAAGGCGTGTGACCGTTACTTGTTGCGTCACTAGTCCTTTTCTGTTTTTCTATTTCTACCAATTCCGTTGGTAGTAAGCTTCCGAATGGATCCCTAGCAATTACCAGCCCTTGCGACAGTCATAGAACCGTAACCGCATGCTACAGTGTGTCTACAGAAAAGGAGTCAAACTTTTAACCCGTCAAGTACGGGGCTTTCGGCACCCAAACTGTCTCTCAGGCCGGGTGGTAGATGGCAAACACGTGTGTAAGGTCTCTAGTATAAA